GTATTAAACATTTAAATTATTTAATCATCAATATTTACAGAGTTATTAAATTTTCCAAAACAAAGAATTTTAGAACACCCTTACCTATAAAAGCGTAACGTAAAGTTCATTTGTAAAGGTCACAAAGCATATGAATGGGTTGAATGAATTTAAAAGAGACAAAACATACTGTTAGAAGGGAGGCTTGTAATACGGCGCTGTGGCGCGAGTTGTATAGGATGTTACAAATTTTGTTTCTTTTTTACTTAATTAGTTTGTTTGAAAAATATTTTTTTTTAATTATGGATTTTGTTTAACGTTAATATTTTTTTATGATTATTGGCAAGTAGCGTAAGACGTGTGTTCATTTATTGTCGCGATAGTAACGACACGCTGTATATCGATAGATATAGATAGCAGAGTAAAGCATAAAATTCAGATATCTTCGAGCCTGAGACAAATTGACTCGAGATCAAATATTTATGAGGGGGAATATCGTATAAGCGTATCGAGCTTGATCTGCTTATAGATCGTTTAAATATTAGCGTTTCAGGCAGAAACGAAATGAAATAAACGGAAAACTAAATGTAAACGAAAAATTTTATGCCATATTTCTTTTTCAGCGTGCGTATTGCATTTTTTTTGGACACATTTTTTTACACAACGTTCTTCTCTAGTCCCAAACTAAGCAACGCTTGTACTGTGGGTACTACAAAACTGATAATCATACTTAATCATACTTAAAAAAATACATATTATACACAAATATAAAAACACCCAGACACTGGAAAACACTATGTTTATCACACAATATTTTTCCAGTAGTGGGGATCGAACCCACACCCTCTGGCGCAAATGGCAGGTTCACTACTCCCCACGCCAATAGGGTCGTTTGTTTCTTCTTATGTATCTTTGATAACTACACAAGGCCTCAAAATAATTAAGTGATTTTCATGTCGTTATTGTCATTATTGAATTGTAATTAAAAAATTCTCAAAAGAATTTTTAACATGTATTTTTTTATGTGAAATGTTACCAAGCGAGCAGGTGGTTCACCTGAAGTTAAGTGAATACCACCGCCCATGGACATCTGCTACACCCAAGGGTTTGCAGATGCGTTGACAACCTTTTGAAAATTCTTAATATATATTAAGCAAGGTGATTTCTCGACGAAAAACTTAAAAAAAGACCAAAACTTTAATTTGACTAAGTGAATATATGTTCCATATTATGTAGTCTATTTTTAAGAAACTTCTTTTGAAGACAAAAGAAATATTAAAAGAAATGTAAGCAAAAAAGGAACGAGCCATTTGGACAACACAATAAAATGTAGACGACATTTCAGATTCAGCATTTGTCGGATTTACGGTTCGTTGAAATGCCGACAAACCGTAAATACCCATAAGCCGACAATACAGAGACAGCCTAAATTTTTTCGCTTATTAGAACTTTGAGTTAGATTAGGCAATGACGTCAGAACTTGCGTATGAATATGGTTCATACCAAGTAACCTTCAACGACATTGTAAACCTTCAGAAATTTGACTATAAATTTTTTTGTAATGGGTGAAAACATATAGTTATTGTTTTTTATCAAATCAAGATTGACCCGTCTGTTCCTAATAGAGAGTTCATATTACAAAATTAAAAGGTTACTGTGGCACACTCAATTTGATTTTGAATAAACTTAGAAAGAATAAGTACTAAACTAAGTACGTAGTATATAAATCGTTTTCGTACAACTGTATTAATACGAGTATAATTTTCCTAATAACTTCCCGGGGACTTTGTAGGCGCAGCAATAATTGTGAGACGAACGATATGATAGTAGAACGCTTTTATAGTTGATGCTTTTAAAATTACCACTTCAAGTTTAATGGAGACATATTTGAAGGAAATTAAATGAACGGTCGACAACATCTAAGTGGCAGTTAAGTGCGGTATTCTCGAAACGCTCTAGAACTTTGGAACGGGCGAATGTCTCGAAAAATTATCATGCGCCAATTAAAAAAAGCGATAATCCGCTATTAATCTTTATTATTTGCAGTAAACACATATCGAAGGAAGGAGGAACAGACATTTTATTTTGAACGTCGATGAACAATCCTGCCCTTAAAATTTCCATAACGCTCTCGTATTATTAATTGGAGCCGGATTTCTGGTAATGGTTTAAATGTAAATAAAAGCTGCTGTTTAGTTTTTCCAATAAATTATGTGAAACGCATATTGACATATAGTTGACGTAATAATGTGATGTTTCTGGGAGGAAAATATTTGTTTTTGTTGACGAATACACACAAATAGCTTTCATCGTAGTAAAAATAGATAAATTCAAGCTCTATAATCTAGATACAGAATTCATCTATTTTTATTCTAATTTCTAGATTTTTATTATTTTCAAATTTTAAATATGTCGTTTTTGGACGTATAACCACGTAACATTATACATTAACACATATATATATATATATGGGCATACGAAAGCGGTCGTCGTCTTTAATAAGATGAATGTTTGCCATTAGAATTAAAAACAATTTTACAAGAATAATTATTTGGTGTTTCTGTCTGTTGTTCAAAGGAAACTGCTGTTCTTAAACATCTGGGTGGCTCTAGTAACTTATTTACCGTTTTCCGCCTCGGAGGCTTATTCCTCGACAGATACTCATCTACCGCACAAACAGAAATACAAAGGAGCGATTCTTCACTGAGCATAAAACCGGGCTCTTTCCTTTGTGTCATTTCATTCGAAATGGAAAGCGAATTATGGAAACGTGGTGGGATAGGCTTCGAACCCGAGCAATTAATTGCATGTCAGTTGCTTTTAATTCAACGTATAGCGAGCGGGGAAGTTAGTTTAAATTTTGTTTATCGTGAAGGAGAAGATTTAAATGAATACAATTTTGTGTGACGTATGAACATCATTTATTACGGCTGTAGAAAATATCAGAGAAAAGTGAAATTGTCCTTATCTGTCGAATGTCTGTTTTAAATGTACCGAGTATCATTACATTGAACAGCTTTTAGCTTTTTCATTCTTCTTGGGCTATAAATGTAATTAGATTTCTAACAACATACAAAATAATGTATCGTTGTGTCGTTAGTATGTATTTCCATTTTGGTGGGGCCGTTAGTGCGCGTTGGGGATAGTATCACACAGCAGAGTGGATACGTTTCAATCCCTATTTAGGGGGGAAACGCTGGCAAATTGGTGCCAGCTTAGGGGCGAAACAGATGAGGCGGGCGGTTCATGAAGGAGGGGCAAATATTCGCGCGTTTCATCGCTCAGTGTGTCAGCGTTCCTCGGCTTTTCGGCTTTGCCTAACGCCTTAGAAATTGCCGAGGGCTCGCCCTAATTTTTCCCCTTTTGCAAAGCGGGATCGTCTTTGTCAACGTCGTCGCCTGTTTAACATAGACGTCGTTTGTTTTTATTTTCTTGTCCGCCTTTTTTGTCTATTTGTCTACAGCTCACATGCGATGTAATAATCCAAATAATACTGTTTTAACAGCATTGATTATAAGAATCTGTTGATACACAATTAGAACATCTAGCGGTTGTTTATGATGAGACTCTGTTGTAAAAGAACTCCAAACGTATATTTTACGTTTAAAGGAATATGTATTTCAGGTAAATATTGACATTAAAATATTGGAAATAACAATAAAAATTTACATTTCGACGCTTCCGTAGAGCACACAAATCATACCTTTTGAAAAGAGATGTATCTTAAATGATTTATTATATATATTTCAGAGAAAATGCATGGGAGAGACTTACTCACTGACCTGTATAAACAAAAGCTAAACCGCAGATTTAAGAAATTTTAAAAGGTTACTCGTCATATTAAGTCAATATACTATCTATATTCTATATTGTGTATATTTATATCTATATCTATATCGTCTCTAAAAATTTGCAAAAACTAGTAAATTGGTAAGATGTCTTTCTAAATTATTCGTCTTCTTATGAACAATCAAATAAGCATTTAATGGGAGTCATCTCCTTTGTCTAGGGAAAAGTACGAAAACATTATGTATTTTAAACCACAAGGTATTGGAGATAAAGCTGAAATTCGTATGGTTTACAGTCGATCATGTAATACTGTACGTAGTCGTAAACGTGTACATATTTCGTAACGATGTAAGTTTCAAACAATTCATGTGGAAAGTGCGATAACACGGCGTTGGATTACAAACTGTGCACAATTTTTCTTTATCTAATACACTCATATATTACAAGTTTATTATACGGTAAAAAATTGACAAGCTTTTAATGTTATATAAAAATGATAAATATTTAAAATCACTCGTAAGTAATTGATTACATGCATTTGAACTTCAAAAACTTTCTCAAAAAGTGCGTGATTTATACGCAACTCATTTATTTTACGCGCTATCATTCATAACTAACAAATAAATAAAAATCTTTGTTTTTTATTTCAATAAACGATTATACTACCGAGTCTGAACCTCCTGTGTGAATTTGGGTACTTCTCAAAAAATCTCCCTGTATATCGATAATGATCCGAGTATTCGATGGAGAGCCGCGATAACTCAGTGTCCGGGCGCTCGCTCGTCTTTAATTCAATTTACTTCAGCAACCCGAGTTCGATCCCCGGTGCCAGCACCAATAAAATTGTTAATTTTAAGTGCTGACCTATCACCTGCTCGGCGCTGAAGGAAGATATCGTGAGGAAACCTGCATATTTTCGAAATAATAAAAAAATATTTCGAAAATATGTGAAGTCCGCTAATCCGCAGTGGGTTCACGCGGTGGACTATGCCATGATACCCTCTTTACAGAGGTGGACATTTATACAGCTGTTACTTTAATTTATTTTTTTATTCGATGGATGTTTCAACATGTTATAGACAGATTTTGTAGCAATCTTTACTACCGAAAATCAATCGGAGATCGTGCCTGGATTGCAATTCGAAAACAAAAACAGCTGTATTGCAAACCGGATTCAGACAATAACGGAAGTAACGCATATAACACGTGTAGGAAACATCAAGCATACTCACACATGCTCGTCCTTGGCGCTAGGCACGAAATATTTACACTCCCGCTTCTGAAACGTGCTCTCTATCCAACTGCGGGTGGTTTTCTGCAACAAGAGAATACAACGTGTTACGTATACGTCGATAAATAAAAGTTAAGAGGTAAAAGTAATAAGCTAAGCATCTTCCACGAGAGACAAGTTGATACAACATTGTTTAATATGTGTCAATAAAATAAATAAATAAATCTGTAAAACAAACAGACCAGACGGTTCTATGATGTTATGCGATAACCACCGCTTATGGACATCACCCTGCGGCACCATCTGAGGACACGTTGACAACCTTATAAGTGGGGTCCCGATTATTAATAATACGTTTAATCCCTCCACTACACGCCAGTCTTTGTGAAGCAGCGGTATTTCCCCGGATAAGCCTGCCCAATCAACTGTAAAACTGTAGTGGAACTGTAGAAGCTGCGTAGCCCCAACACAGTAAAAATATATGATTTTGTGGTACATTTTACAGTCTATCACGTGATAGACGTACTGGGTTGTCCTACGGCATAACGTCAGGGCTGTCCTAAATTCTTTGTTTCTTTATTTTATTCCGATCTACTCGAAAAGAGCTTTCTTGTGGTGTTTTACAGTTGGTGTATTTGGATCTTGATCCCAAGTCGACGACCTTTAGAAAGAAATCAAACGTGACAAAACACGTAAAAGTAGTTATATTTAGTCTAGTACGTCTAGTACACTAAATAGTATAAAACGAAGTTGTCCCGCTGTCTGTCTGTCCCTATTTATGCTAAGATCTTTAAAACTACGAAACGGATCTTGATTTTTTTTTTACTAGATAGAGTGATTCAAGAGGAAGGTTTACATGTATATACATTATACCCGGGGTGGGTCGCTAGTTTTAAATATCATATTTTTGTTTAGTATTGTCTGTCGGTCACCGTTCAATATTCTTAAATGTGCAGTGCCACGGATGAATTACTGTTCGGAGTATAAAAACGCCCACGCCAATTGTTCAATACGCTGCGCTCCAATTGAACATAAAGGATGAACATAAACAGCGTAATCCCTACTCGTGCAATTCTCTTTCAATCAAAACAAATTCAAAGAAACAATGATCACTTTTTAATGTTTACGGACGATAATATTCGAAATGTAAACACTAACGGCCGGTTTCAATATCCTATCTAAAGATATATTTGACAAATAGCGTTAGATATTTGACATTAGCTCCTAGTAACGTTAAAAATCAACTCCCGTAAGCAAATCTATCCGTAGATAGAATATAGAAACCAGCCGTCAGTGCACTGTTAACAATATTAACATTAATAAAACGGAATCGTTGGTTAACCTATACACAAAAAACAGAAAAAGCTCTTGGGAATTATGAAAAAGTAAGTAAGGAACTTTTTTTTTTTTTTTTGGGCTGGATGAGCCACTGTTGGCCTAAGGGGCCTTTACAGATCCGACAGACTTGAGGTGGCCTGGCGCACGAGGCGCCTAGCCTGAAACTCGGCGTACTATTATTACGCTTTATGGTGACTAAGCTCGAGGGCTCCCGGGCGAGCCTCGGCTCGGGCCGTCACGCTATTATTATTACCGGTTTGGGAGGCCGCCAAGCTCTTAGGGCGCTTTGGCGGGCGCTCCATGGAGTGATCAGGCTCAAGGGTCCCCGATAGGGGACCTCGGCTTGGGCTGTCACTCAGCACGCGTTTAGCATTCCGATTCGAGGGTGCCCGAGAGGGCCGGACCTCGGCTCGATCGGTGGCTATTATCTGACTGGGGGAATTACTAGAGCTAACATTACTACCACTTCGGAGAGCGTTGGCGCTGGGAGAAGAAGTGGCGGAAGAAACTCCAGCAACGCTTCTATCATTAATAGGGGAAAACCTGCCAGGTACGTGGCGGAACCTAGTATATGTTTGACGCACTCGCCGGCGAGTGCGGTGTGTGTTAGTGTGTTTCTTGAGTTTTTGATCCTTTCGATGGCGATAGTCGTCTCATCGTCAGGGAAGTCGAAAACGTGACGCGGTCTTCGGTAATCGCGGCGGAAAATATTTAGCGGCAAGGGCCTGTAGGTGACGGCACCTACGATAAGTGGGTTGGGATGCGCGGCGGCGGAATCGAAATATCGGCGCGATGCCGACTTCAGGAATTGCGCGATGGTGGGCAATTCTAGATCGACATGTAGGTCGATATTGCGCATGAACCAGGGTGCTCCCGTGGCTCTGCGCAAGAATCGATTTTGAATCACCTGAAGCCGGTGTATTTGCTTCGGAGCAATGTGAGCGAAGACGGGACTCGCGTACGTCATGATAGGGCGAACTACTGCCTTATATAAGGTCACCTTGTTCCGAAGGGACATTTTTGACGTTTTATTGAGGAGTGGGTAGAGGTGACCGAGTACGAAGGCCGCCCGGTTCCTGACCTGGGTCACGTGCTGGGTGAATTTAAGCTGGGAGTCGAGGACGACGCCTAGATATTTGACTTTATTAACCCATGGTACTGGGCTGTCCAAGAGTTTAACGGGGGGTGGAATGGGTATGTTCTTTTTGTGCGCGAAAAGGACTGCCGCGCTTTTGGCGGGATTGATTTCGATCCTCCATTGCCGAAACCAGTCACCGATGGTGATGGCCGCAGCTTGGAGGCGTCGATGGATCAATTCGGGTGTTCTGCCTGTGGTATAGATACAGGTGTCGTCGGCAAAAAGAGCAAGTTCTACATCTTTGACACGCGGCATGTCATTGGTGTAGAGAGTGAACAAGACTGGGCCCAACACCGACCCTTGGGGCACCCCGGCTCGAACGGGATGCGTAGTCGAACACACGCCCTGGACGCGATAGCGAAAGGTTCGATTACTTAGGAAGTCTCGTATTATGCATACGAGACGGTCGGACACTCCGTACCCGTATAGCTTGTATACGAGCCCGTTGTGCCAGACTTTGTCGAACGCTTTTGCCACGTCCAGGAAGAGTGCACCGGTGTTGAGTCCACGTTGGCGTTTAGTTAAAATGTGCTCCGTGATGCGGTGCACTTGGTGGGTACATGAGTGTTGGCTCTGAATCCAAACTGCTCTGGGATGGGGAGCCCTTTGGTGTCCATAAAGGATCTTAAGCGGGCTAATATTAGTCTTTCAAAGATCTTCCCAAATGTTTTGAGAAGACTTATTGGACGATATGAGGTTGGGAAAGTGGCGGGTTTAGAGGGTTTGAGGAACCCTATGACATCGGCTTCCTTCCACTCGGATGGGAAGAAGCCTGCGGTTAAGGCCGCGTTGTAAATTAATACTAGTATCTGAAGGATGCTAGTAGGGAGGAGCTTGGTCACCTTATTGGTGATACCATCTGAGCCTGGTGCTTTACGCGGGCGTAGTTTATTAATGGTGTCTACTAGTTCGGAGCACGTGACCGGGGGAAGTGGATCGCGAAGTGGCTCTAAGGCTTTCCTTTCTACCTCTTCGTTCACCTTACGGAGGTGTTCGGGGTCGATAGGAAGCGGACTGGGGGAGCATTGAGACTCTAGGCTGTCAGCCAGGCATTCGGCCTTCTCTTCGTCCAGCATTGCTGGCGTACCTATCGGGCGGACTAATGGCGGCATGGTTGTTATCCCGTTACCCTTGAGGGATTTGGGAAATTTCCAGAAGGCTACGTGGGATGGTTTTACTGATGTTAGAGTGGAGTCCCACCGTTCGTTTCGTGAGTCTGCTATGCGTGTTTTGACCTCACGCTGCAATTTACGTAGCAGTCTACGATTCGAGTCGGTGGGATATCTATCATAGGCTCGAGTCGCCGCATTCTTGCGTCTCAGCAAGTCCTGCACATCGTCTGGCAGGGCCCAGCGATGGTCTTCCATCGCTGTGACCTGTCTCGAGCATTGCTCGACGACAGTGTTGACGTGGCTTGTGAGGGCTCGAATTGCGGTTTCCGTGTCCTGTTTGGTATTCAATTCTTTAGGGATTGATTCTAGTTGTGGAGGATTGGGTTCGTTAAATTTAGATTTGATTTTATGCCAGCTGATGACAGTTTTAGTTAGGGGAGCGGCTATTGCTGAAGGCCCTAGCCGGAGGAGAACTGGTCGGTGATCGGAGTGAAGCTCGTGTATCACTTCCGGTTCGCATAAGGAGAGACTGATGGTTTTGAAGAGTGCAATGTCAAGCACATCCGATGTGTGTCCCTCTACGTATGGAAAGCGCGTATGTTCGACGGGGGCAGCGACTTCAAAGTGGAGCCTGTCGGATAGCAAGGAACTTTAATTATTCGTCAAATATAGAATGCATGTGCAAATGTACAAGTTAGTGGCAGCGCTACGTGGCGAATAAGCATCCCTTAAGATTGGATACGAACCCCTATAATTGGATACTACTGTCATTCATAAGTAGATTTAATCTAACGGATCGAAACTATGTACTTAATAAAGAGAATATTAATCTATGCCAAAGAGAGAATAAATATTTAAAAAGCCAGATTTCGATCCATCGATTTTATTTATGATTTATAATTTAGTTGTTGCACCCTATGTGACGGTAGTCTGTCTTCGATGTCAGAAAGCTACGAATTTCCTATATCAAACACGAAAACAAATAATGTATTTGTACTTACAGGTGAATGATCATAAATAATTCAAGGAGACCAGCGGGTTTCATACCCATTCAATATGGCAAACCTTGTTTTCATGAATCTTCTTTCATTTGGGCACAAACCGGTCACCATAAGCTATCGCAGCCTCTCAACGACAGGACGATAATATAGAAAAAACTCTTAATCTACTAATCTAATATACTAATATATCTTTTATCAACTTATGCAATTATAATTATTTATTTATTTTTTATTTATGCAGTATTTTCTTCTTTGATATTTATATTAATAAATAACTATTAATTCAGTTACTAAGCTGTTTGGATAGTAAAGTTACAATATACTAACATTTTTAAAGTATCTTTCGAATGGAATGTCCGAATTTAATAATTCAAAAAGTTATATAAAGATATTGAAACAGTATTAAATATGAAGTAATTTATTTTTATAAGGATTAGTACCAATATACAAATAAAGAGCCTTTTCTAGCAGCGGCATTTCAATCACAATTTTAAAATAAAAGAACACTAATTGTGGCATAACTATAATAGTTTAAAACATATGCTGTCGCGACACTTTTTGTAAATAATGATGTGTTCTGCAAATTCGTAGTACATTATTTTATTCTATCATCAATAGTTTTCGCAGCGCACACGATGTAAGGAATATTTTAGGTGATTTTTGTACACTTTAGGTTACATTATTGAAGTTTTAGTAAGTATCCCTAGTTTCTTGAAAATATAATATAGCGGGGATAATGTAGCTTCCTAACAGTGAAAGAAATATTCAAATTGTTTCAGTAGTTTCGGCGCCTATTCAATGCATACAAACAATCAAATTTTTCCTCTTAAATGGTAGGCGGAGTGAGGGGTGTTAGGTTTTATTTTAGTTACGGAATTTTTTGATTCGGTCGCCGCGCTCAAAGCCCGCGATAAGTTTTAAAAGCTATGCAATAGCTTAAAAACTTATTACTTTAACTACGACAGATATACGTCATAACATTTAAGATTGGAAGTCTGGCAAAATTTCAATCTACCACTCCGTCAAAATGTATTTATTCGAGGAGGCATCTCGACATATCATGTAACGAAGGCTCCAGACGGTTTTACATTAGCATTACATTATAAGCCCAATACTAAGACGCGGTCGATACGTGCTCTCAGACAGCTTTCATTGTAAGACAGTACAGCGCTATTGTTGTGGATTGTACGACACTTTCTTTAGTCAATTTCTTTTTGTCCTGAAAGAATTTTTTCTTTTGTCTTCCGATTTTATTACATAGCAGCATTGCAGTCGAATGCTTAAAACTTGGCCTCGAAGTGTATACGTAATACATTCGTGGACGTATTCAACTATTCGTGCTTCTGCGTTTAAACTAATGCATAAAATATTTATTTTATGTTCCATAAATATAGGATTGTTATAGACAATTATATAACTTAACACTAATTATGTTATAAAAGCCCTTTAAAACGTTTAGCACCTTTTCTGCTCAGCACTATATTCAATTATTTACTCCTCCCGGCTTTATGGGTGGTACAAATAGAAAAAAAAAAATTAACCAAATAGTTACGTAACAAGTAAAAATTCCTGGTTATTTATACGAATTTAAACTTTATAAAATTCACAACAGTGTTGTAGAGTTATATTTAACAACACTTGAAACCGAAAGTAACAACGAAATAAAAATTTAAAAGTCTACTAGTGACAGTAACATCCATTAGGCTTTCATGAAGTGCACTATCAGTTTAATTATTCTTTATTTGGATGGTAATTTACAAGTTCGTAGCAGTGCTACGCGGCCCGTAGCCACCATTTTAAGTTTGGACACGAACTACTACGGTTGGATACTATTTGTAGTAACTACATCATTACTTTTCACATACCAGATCGAGGCAAGAGTTTACAAGTATAAGTATTACTATAATAAGTGTGTTCGCTATATTAACTTTATGGAACAAAAGAAATAGTTTTTATGACTTCACTTAGCCCTGTCGCAAAAGTTTAAGCTTTTTTGACTTTCAAGTTTAAAGTTTGCGCAGTTTTAACCATTAGAGGTAGGTATTCCAAAATTTCGCTGTGAAGTAGCGAAAGCGCACAAGAAATAAACGACAGTTGCCTTTTGAATAAGTAAGCCTTACGCATTTATAAGCTGTGACAACAATAGACGTCTCCGTGTTGTCTACTATGTTATCCGGGCAAGAATGATTAGAGAATGGTTAACAAATTTCACAAATACGAGAATATGTGTAGCTAAATTTTGTAGGGAGCGTAAATTTGAAACCTATATCTTATATTACGGTAAGACTTTGTAATCATTTATCTTCATTAATTAATTATTGCTTACAAGTGAATTAATGACATTCTTTAAGAAACCGTAGTGTGTTTTAGTATCTCGGTGGCACAATGGCCAAACTTCGTGGCACTGGCTTTAGCCCTGGTGGCCATGGGTTCATTTCCCACATGGGACCAGTATTTGCGTGCCTCACAGATAATTGCTCCGGGTCTGGGTTTTTTCCCAAGGAGGATTGACGTCAAGCAGGCAGCCAGCCAGTTGCAAAAATATATCCGAAACTAGTTACAACAGTGGGATATAAGCAGGATGGTAATGAATGTGTGTTAAAACGTCTCTAATAGGATGTATTTGTATGGTACATTCTGAACAGAATAATGAATGGATATGAATATTCAAATAACGATACTAAATAGATGCTATTTAGCATTCAAACAGAAAATTGTACCACAAATCTGTCGCAGTTTTGCGTAACACGTTCCACGTAATCAACAT